CACCACCATCACCACCACCACCACCACCACCATCACCACCACCACCACCACCTCCCCCCTCCTCTCACACCCTAACAAGTACTCGATCAAAGGCACACAGTGCACAACAGCAAATAAACTTGCCTGGATGAAGAGGGCCAGGACTAACTTCCTGAGGTCAGTGAGCTGCAGCGAGGTGGCCGCACTGTGGTCGATCAGTTGGTAACCCTCAATGGTGTAGGGCGTGTGCACAAACTGCCAGGCCAACCAACGCAGACGTAGGGCAGCGTTGACGCTCAGAGTTTCCGAAGGGTAGTTGACCGTGCAGCAGCAGAAACCGCGATCAAGTTGATGAGCCTCATTCAGACCATTGCTCTCCTGTTCATGACAGTAGGTTCCTAAGTGGGTTGGATTAAAGGAGCGGTTAAAGGACAAAGTAGCAACTTTCAAACGGATATTAGCTAAAGGCCGTGTATTTGTTAACCAAACAAAAAATGCGTGAGAAAGCACTGAAACGAGTAAGTTGATGCAGGGGAAAAAGATCCACCGAAGAGCTAATGTCGCACTAGGGGGCAATCAGGAATGCAGAAAGACGAGGCTAAGTTGGCGGGAGATGTATTTAAAAGAACCCACGAAGCTTCCAGGAACGGAAGGCAGGGGGTATTTAACAACAATTAGATGTTTAATGTCGAATAAAATGATCGGGTTTTTGTAGCTGCGCGCGAAGTAACGGAGAAGTTTTGTGATTTCCAAAACATGAAATGCGCTAAACGAAAGTGCCGCGAACAAGGACAGATTTTCATCCCAGAAGCCAGACCAAGGGAATTCGTATTGAGCGAGATTTTCGCAGGCTTTTGAGCCTGCATATAAATTTACTAAAGAGTAAGTTTTACTTGAACGAAGAGACCTCAAATGTCTGAATATTGGTTAAAATTGTCCTGATCTAATCAACGAAAGATGTAAGTGTACCCACCTGAGTTCTTTCGTCATACGCCAACACTCCTAAGTAAGTTAATTGCACACTTGAGCCTAGGTATTAATAAAAATAAAATAAAAACCGCGTTTAAGCAAATTTGCAGCCAGATGCCACCATTAACCGACCCGGATGATGGATTGCATTGTCAGCAAAGACAAGGTGGAAGCGAATGACCTTTATCAGCCAGTCATACCCAACTGCAATTGGCGCACCAGCCCAAGCTTAATGGTTTAAGTGTTGGACCTCCAATCAAAAAGGTCGGGGCTTCAAATCCCGGTTGGTTCACCACTTGGGGTGGAGTATGACTGACTGATGACGAGTAAGCAGTCTGAAATGGCCATCCGAGAATCACTTGCCTTTGCTAGCCATGTTATCTGCCTTCACTACTAGCCGCTGTGTGGCTGCTGGTGGGATATAAGCTGGACGAGTGAGTTCCGTTAGCGATCAATGACCCTTCATGAACCGATCTAGATGGCTTTAAGTAGTCACTCTTCATAGCAATGGACCTCATTGATTATGATAACACTGTGTCGAAAGGAGGTAGCGAAACGCAACAAGAGGTCATTAAATCGATTAAACTGTTAATACAGTGAGAACCTCCGCCAACGTTTTATACTTAATAGTACGAAAAAGTTGTCTAGTCGAACTCGGAACCCAGAATGATACGTTGATATATCTGCTACTGTTTCGTCATAAAACAAGGGCTGTACTAAAAAAAGCACTTGAGTGAAACGAAAGCGTTAATAGTTTAAAAGGAAGAGATATACGCGACTCAGATAAGAGGGTCATTACAAAGTCAATATATGCAGGTATTTGCATAATTCAACCTCCGTCTCACGGTCGGGAACTCCTAGCTCAAGTGATTAGAGCCTTGTCTGAGCATAGGTGGTTTCCGAGTTTTTCACAGCGCTGTCAAATGAATATTTGCAGGGTAAAACGGAGGCCAGATTTTGCAATGGCTCAAGACGAAAACGTAACGCTTAACTGCTTATAGTGACCAATCGGCCAGTGTCAAATTCGTTGTAAAGTATGGAAGACAGAGAGAACTAGCACGCTTCTAGTCCAAGTACTGAAATCCTGGGAGGATTAACATTAAACGGTGGAAGTCAAAACATAACAACTGGCGAAATAAATCTGATACGGTAGGTATGGCATATGTCCC